ACACACACACACACACACACACACACACACACACACACACACACACACACATACACAAACAAAATGAGAAAGCTTACATTATGTGCTTTGGCGTCAAGAGGTTTGGCAAATCGAAGAAATGACGTCACATTACCATACACTGACAAAAAAACGCGGTAAAAAAGAGTTGGTTTGAATGGCGTTTTACGGCACTTGCAAGACAATAAGGTCATATAACTACCGAAGATTATAAAATTAATGTGTTGCATGTACAAGGGAGTAACAAACACCGAAAAAAGGAAGGAGGAGAGATAAGGACGATAGATGTTATAAAGGAAACCTTACAGAACACCCGCCAACCACACGCAAAAAAAAGAGTTAAAAAGCAAACAAACAAACAAATAAGCAAAGGAACAAGTTTTTTTAAGTTTTAGTGTTTCACGGCACTTGCAACACAATAAGGTCATATAAGTGCCGAAGATTAGAATTGATGTGTTACAATGGAGTAACAAACAAAAAAGGTGGAGGAGAGATAAGGGCGATAGGTGTTTGATAGGAAAAATTAGGAGCAAACCATACAGAATACCCGTAAACCACCCGCAAAAGATTTAAAAAGCTAACAAACAAAAGAACGAATGAACAAGCAAAACAAACAAATAAATAAACAAGCAAAACAAACAAACAAACGAACGAACGAACAAAACAAAAAAACAAACAAATAAGAAGAAACGAACACTCAAATCAAACAAAGAAACAAACAAAATAAACAAACAAACAAAGTAGATGGTTGTAACGCTCTCTCACTCACCTCCACCTGTGGACAAATCCAGCTCCTCCCTCACCCACTGCTGTGTCTTCCGAGAACTTTAGTCTACAACAACTACTCAACAACTAATTACTGCTGTGTGGGTGGTAGGCGGGTGCTCTGGTATGGTTTGTTTCTTCTTTCCTATCAAACATCTATTGTCCTTATCTCCCCTCCTTCTTTTCTATGTTTGTTACTCTCTGGTAACACCTCTAATCTTCTGGCGCTCATATTATGAGCGTGTGCAGTTGCGAGAGCAGTAAAACCTCTACTAAAACAAAACAACAACTGCTGTTACTCATGCACAAAAAGGCACACTCTCCCCTTGACCTAGTCTGCTGGTCTACATCAACCAATCAGCTCACAGATTACATGTATGGTTCTGCACTGACCAATCAGAAGACAGATTACATGTATGTATGGTTCTGCACTGACCAATCTGGTCATAGATTACGTTTCTACATTGACCAATCAACACAAGGATCACGGTTCCTCGCCGACCTATTGGCTTACAGATTCAGTCTATCACACTACGCGAGCTGCATCAATGATAGTACATAACAAGATGGGCCACTTCTCTCTTTGAGCCAATTAAAAAAGTGTCCTCAAAATTTGGTGGCGCCCTCTTCACAAAAGCGCACTCTTTGCGAACAGAGTTACCCTACTTGAGTTTTTTAAAATCAAAGTGAAACTAGCAAGTTTTGGGATAAATTTCGGAAGAACGCTTTTTTAAAATGGTTACGCTGACAAAAAAACCTCTTCCGGAGGAAAAGGTGATGGTTTTCTTCATTTAATTTGACTTTAGAATGAAAGGCGAGAGGTCATTAAAATATAAAAAAACTAAAACTCCGCACTGAACGTACCCAAACTGCTGATGAACAGCAGTCGATCTGCGCACGCAAGGAGATGCTATTCCTATTCTTCTTCTGGAAAAACGAAAGAGAGCTTCAAAACAGACTGCAGCGCCATCTGAAGCAAAGAGCATACTTCCTGCGGACACTTTTTAGGCTGAGTGACCCATCGTGTCTTGTACTATCTTTGGCTGCATGTCAATAATTAATCAAATGTAATTTTTTTTAATGTGCCAGGACGTTGTGGAATCAGGCGCTCGTCAAAACAATGAAATCAAAGAAACCGTCATTTTTTCTGGCTGTATTTTTTTTTGGCTCAACACCTTCTATATCCATTTAATTTAAAAACACATTTCCGTGTGAGTTTTACAGAAAAACACTACTTAAAGACACAAAATTTTCATGCAAATTTTCAGTTTTCAAGGACTCTCAATCTATGGAAATTACTAAGCTTTGACGACCATTTCTCACTAAAACAAAAGCTAGGCGAGCCCAACTTGGACCTTCATATCGCCAATATCAAGACTTGTACTTGTACAAAGAGTAAAAGGATATTTTTTCCATCAAAAGCTAGGCAAATCGACGGGCTTTAAGATGTTATCAATAACTCCACATGCCCCAAAATTGACGAGCGCCTGATTCCACTGCGTCGTGACACAAAAATAAAACCCCACTCGTCTCAGCCCAGATGTTACCAGCGTGAAATCAACGCCCCTTCTTTCACGTACCCTGCAAAAGCTGTTGTTAGCGTTACACATGATTAACATCGTCGATTTTTTGGCATCTTTATTTCCCTCTCCCATTAAAATAACGCATGTCAAAATACATGTATGTATGTTTTACATTTTCGATTTGCATAATATAGATCTAGTATACCGGTGATATTTTGTTAGTGCATGTCATAATCAAAATAATAATATCATTATGCACTACCTGCAGGCGTTTTAGGTGTCAACAAAGTAATAAAAACCCAAAACGGATCAATGAAATGCATTCATTGAATAATAAAATCGTGGTTTTGGTTCATTAATCTGATCTTAATGTAGGCTAAATATTGTTTGTTCAAGGTGGGGTGTTTTTTTGTGTGTGTGTGTGTGTGTGT